GAAACCTGCCGAATCTGCAGTGTTAGTCTTAAATGCAGATAAATACCCCAGCTGAACTTTGCCAATTTTTCAAGATCAATTGAAGTTTTATTCACTACAGTCCCTCTTTCTTTGAAAATTTTTGAGCCCAGCATGATCAGTGACTGGATTTCCAGGCCTAGTCCACTGGAGTTATAGGTGGTCTTCTCTGTGATGCCCTTTTTAAGTTTGAATAAGGAGCTTGTTGTATCAGATCACCAAGATTGTCTTTAGGGCAGGGACTCACAATCTTTTTTTTTTAATATTATTTTCTTTATTTTGTTCAATCTTATGTTTCTTAAAAGAAATCAAGAAAAAAATACTTATATATGAAGTCTATTACATTTATCAACATAGTTATCATTTCTAGTTCTCTTCATTTCTTCCAGTGGATCTCATTACTGTCTGGAATTATTTCCTTTCAACTTGAAGCACTTATTTTAATATTTCTTGTAGGTTAAGCCTGCAATTCACAAATCCTTTTAGTGTTTGTTTATCTTGGAATGTCTTTATTTCATCTTCATTTTTGAAAGATAGTATAACTGAATATAGAATTCTTGTTGACCAGTTGTTGTTTTTTTCCCTTCGAGTGGTCATTCCACTGAATTTTGTCTTCCATATTTCTGATGAGAGGTCAGCCATTAATTGTATTGTTACTCACTTGTACAAAAATTTCTCTTTGTCTTTCAGCAGTTTGACTGTTATGTGTCTAGGTTTGGTTTTCTTTGTGTTTATCCTACTGGAGGTTTATTGAGTTTCTTGGACCTAAAGGTTAATGTTTTTCATCAAATTTGGGAAATTTTTGGCCTTCATTTCTTCAAATCTTTTTTCTGCCCCTTTCTTTCTCACCTTTTCTTTTGAGACTCCTATTACACATATGTTGGAATACTTGACAGATTTCCACAGGCCTCTGAGGTGCTGTTCATTTTTCTCAGATATTTTTTCTCTGCGTTCTTTGATAATTTTTGTTTGTCTTCAAGTCCACTGATTCATTCTTCTGCTGCTCAATTCTGCTGCTTAGCCCATCTAGTGAAGTTTTTTTTCCATTTTATTTATCATACTTTTCAATGCTAGAATTTTCATTTGATTCTTTTATATAATTTTTATTTCTCTATTGAGATTTCCTATTTTTTGACTCATTGTCATCATATTTTCCTTTAATATTTTGAATATATTTGTGATAGTTGTTTAGAAATCTTTACTAAATCCAGTATCTAGATCCACAAAGGTTTGGTTGTGTGTATATGTATATATATGTATGTGTGTGTGTATATATATATATATATGTATATATGTATAACTTGTATTGTGCTTTAGGTAAAAGTTTACAGTGCACATTAGTTTCTCATTCAAAAATGTATCCACAAATTGTTTTGTGACATTGGTTGCAATCCCTGCAATGGAAATTTGGTGTATATGTATATATTTTTTTTTCTCCTGAGTATGGGTGAGGAAGCATCTTTTTCTTTGTATGTCTAGTATTTCTTTATTTGAAAACTGGACAATTTAGTATATATTGTAGCAACTTGATTCTGTTTTATGTTTTCTAAGGGTTTTTTTTTAAGGCACTTGCCTGGCTTTAAGTTGAAAATTCTGTTCCCTTGCAATGTACAGCCATTGGGTGCCTGTGCTTCATTTGTTTCTTATTCTTATTTTTATATTTTAGCTTTAATTTCTGAGAGTCATCCCTGTATCTACACAGCTTAGGGCCAGCCAGTGACTTTTCAGAGACTATGCTAATACACTTTGAGCCTGTAAGGATTCTACTGTCTACTGTTAAATCTGTGGATGGGTTGGACAATACATTCAGGGTTACCACTAGTTTTAAAATTTTCCTTAGCTTTTTCTTGTCACCAGACTTTCTAATCTCCCCTGCACATTTGTAATTTTCCAGTCAGCCAGGGATTTGTGGAGCACTTTTATGAACTCTTTTATGACTTGTCTTATTTCTGGAATCTCACTGTTAAATATCTGGCTGCTCCACTGCTCACCTCAACTCAGACTGCAACTTTGGTCTAGCAAAGCTTCAGGTTTTCCTTGTCCATTTCCACCAAGTCCACCACTTACATTTAGCCAGCAAAGCTCTAGGTTTTTGCCACCCACTGTGAATCTGTTTTGCCCCTTCCTGTACAAAGATGAAAGTTTATCAGCTTCAAGCTGATAAAACTACAGTTCTCACTGACTGAACTGGGAGAAAGAGTGATGGAGACAGCCCCATGCAGGTAGGCCACAGATTCCAGCCATTCTTGCCAGAAGCTCTAGCAGTGTTTCAAGAATAAACAATTCTCAGTGGACAATCTCCAGCAGCCTGGAATGATTGATTTTGAAAAAAATATTTTTACCCAGTTTGTGTATATTGTTTTGTATGCGTGTTTTGAGGGGGATCCTGGACCTCTTCATACTGCCATTACCTTTGATTATGTTTTGAATACCAAAGGTGATAAATTTTATAAAGTAAGGTGACTTAGAACCTTGCCTCTCATACGTATTTTATTAAGAATGTTCAGTGGGGATATTTTGCACATCTCTATTGCCATATCATGGCATAGATTATCAGTGCCCTCTTCACTACTGGAAATAGAGTCATTAGTGCCTTTAAATCTAACCAGGTTTGAGAACCAATTCCATAAACCCCAAAACCAATTCACAAAACTCATCCTTAAGATGCTGTTTAAGATTCTATTCCTCTAGAACCACTGTCATTATTAAGAGTCTTAGTCAAGGTTCTGTAGAGAAATAGAACCAGTGAGAGAGAGAGAGAAATAGAGAGAGAGAGAGAGATTTACTTGAAGGAATTGACTCATACAACTGTGGGGGGCTGGCAAGTCCAAAATCCAGGTCAGGCAACAGGCTGGAAATTCCTGTTGGCTTGTGTCCTAAAATCTGTAGGTCAGGTGATAGGAAAAGTGAAAAAGACTTCCGCCCAAATATCTATTTAGAATATGGAGGCAGAACACACTACACCCTAGGATGTATTCTGTGAGGTGTCTTGTTGTTGTTGTTAGGTGCCGTCAAGTCAGTTCCGACTGATAGCGACCCTATGTACAACAGAACGAAACACTGCCCGGTTGTGCGCCATCTTCATGATTGTTGTTATGCTTGAGTCCATTGTTGAGGTATCTAGAATAGACAAATTGATAGACACAGAAAGTAGAATAGAGGTTACCAGGGGCTAAGGGGAGGGTGGTAATGGAAAATTATTGCTTAATGGGTATAGTTTTTGTTTGGCATGATAAAAAAAGATCTAGGAATAATAGTGATGACTACCCAACATTGTGAATACTTAACACCACTGTACACTCAGAAATTATTAACAAGGTGAATTTAATGTTACGTATATTTTACCACAATTTTGAAAAAGACTTAAGGGTGAAAAAATGCATTTTACAAGATCAACTTTTTAACTCAGTAAGACACGATACCTAAAAGCCAAATAAGGAGTGTATCAATACATTTGTTTAAATAAAAATTAAAATTTTTCATATAGAAAAAGATCTATTATCAACAAAATAAAAAGAAACAAAGTAGGGAAAAGTATGTGAAATTCTTTTGACTGGAGAGACTTCTAATTTCTTTGATATCTAAAGAGATTTTACGAATCAATAAGAAAAAGATTAACAGTCACCTGAAAGAATAGGCCAAAGAGTATGAACAGGTAGCTTAGAGAAGAGGAAGTACAAATGGACAGTAAATATCTACTAAAAGATGCCCAAGTTGCTAAAGAAATTCAGATGAAAGCAATTACAAAATTTCATTTTTCAGCTATTGGGTTGGCAAAGATTAAAAGAAAAAATGATAATACTCAGTGTTAGTAAAAATGTTGGGGGGGGGGGATGAGCTTTCCTTATTGTTAATGCTGTGGAAACATCTATCAGAATTTAAAATTCACATGCCATGTTACCCAGCAATTCCAAGGGTGCAATTAATATATGAACTAAAATACATTCATGATGCCTTCATTCATTGTTTGTAGCAGCAAAAAAATTAGAAACAACCTGGATGCCATTAATGGAGAACCGATGGACCTCTATCAAATGGAAAACCTTTTGGAAAGAGTGCGGTCAATCTATCTGTAGTGACATAGAAGGAGGTTCATGATATATTACACTAACAAAAAGCAAGTTGTTCCTTTATATATTATATCTGATTATGTTTGCGTGTGACAAGAAAACACCAGGAGGGATATGGACAACTCTCTGCATACTGGCTGTCTTTGAGAAGTCACATTGGTTTGAAGGGGAGAATTGGCAAATGTCATGTTTCCAGACTGCTTCCTTTTTTTTAATAGCAAGCATGTGTTGAATTTATATTTAAAAGAAAAAATATGCAAAATTGCAAATCAAAGGCTACGTTTATGTAACTGGAAAATTATAGCAAAACCTTTTCTTGTTTGTTTCCTGTTTGAAAGGGTATTGAAAATATGAACATTAATTTACAGAGGGCAAAGGAAGTGCTTTTCTGTTAACTGGAGATTATGTATAAATGAGTAATTTTACTCTTAAGATTTGAAACATCTTTCAAAATGATAACTGGTTGAGTCACATGCTGTATACATCTGGCATGTTAAAGTACTCTATCATTGAGGAAGGGAAAACTTAATAATCATCCACATAATATAAAAAATTTATTAGTTATTAGTATATTTCATTTAAAATGATTCTGGGTAAAGGAATAGAAACTTATTCTAATTAAATTGGTTGAACGATATGAAGTTTCAAATCTATTAAAAGAAACACTAAAACAATTTCCTTAAAAGCAGTAGATTACAAAGTTTTTCAGTATTTAAATCTCAAAATAATTGACTTTTAAGTCTTTTCTGTTTTAAACATATATAGTCTTGTAATAAGTATATGATAGTTGTTTTAATGTTTTTTTAATTCTCTAATACTTTAAGTATGAATTTATGAAAATCATAGGTTAAAAATACTGATCATACGTGTATAATGTATTTATTTCACATTATGGAATCAAATTTTATCCAGGTTTCGCCTTGATATTTATCGATGTTTGGCCAGTCCAGCTCTGATAATGTTAACAGAGGAGGATCCAATTCTGAGAGCATTTGAACTTAGTGCTGATTTAAAAGAACTAAGCCTTGTGGAGGTGGAATTCAGGTGAGAATGAACAGAAATTATAAATTATATAATGTCTTTTGTTTGAGAAACTTTTCAGCCTGAGTTTCTTTATAGGCCAACTTATAAATTATCTTTATGTACATTTATTTATATTTGATCCAAGATGACCACAGCTTGTTTCTCCTTGCTGCCATCACTTGATTTTTTCCTTCTCCCTCAAAGGGACAGACAAATCCTAATGCTACTTTGGTCGCTTTTGTATCTCCCTTAATCCCTCCTTTTTCCCACTTGGCCAAGGGCATTCTAGGGCAGTGTGGAGGATAGTAGAAGTGGTAGCCTAAGTAAGAGCAAACTCATTTGCCACTGCTTCTCTTTGTTCCACCTCCCCTCATCTCCAGATTCGTAATTATCTTGGGGCCTGATTCTTCGGCTCTTTCAAAAGCATAGTAAATGCTTTCTGTATGTCAGGGATGTTCCACACACAAGGACATAGTCCCTTTTCACTGTTTAGTGAGATGTATCCGGTGGGAGGAACATACATGTAAACATAAAAATAAAGTATTGCTGATTAAGAATGATTAATATTAATTTTTCTTCCAAAATGAAAATTAAGCATAAGTCTGGTGCTTTCTATACCCAAAGAATCTTTAGTTACAATTTCCCCTAAGAGGGATAAGTGTGTGTGTATGTGGAGGGAGGGGAGGTGAGTAAGGAAAAGTAGTTTGATTTTTAAGAAATTTTAAGAAAATTAATTAACTAATAAATTAATTAATTTTAAGAAAAGTAGTTTGATTTTTTTAAGACATTCTCTTCATTTAAAATACCTGTTAATAGCTTTTTAAATTTGTGACTACTGTAGTTTAATTTGGATAAATTAAAATTTATTTGAACTTTATGACATAATGTACTTTACTTTGATAACACATTAAAAATGGTTAAAAATGTAACTTGTTGCCACTTTTAACTTTATTACCATATAAAGCTGTTAATAAATGCTTCTTTTTCAAATATGAAAAACTTCCTGTTATAATCACATCCTTCGAGTTATGAGTTCTCTCATAAAATAAAATTCATTCAACTCCTTCCAAAAAGGTTTGAGGCAACTATTATTATTATATTGTAATCATAGAATAATAGAGTTGGAAGGGATCCTAGAACCCATTGTTTTTATAGACAGGGAAACAGATCCATAAAGGTTAGGAATCTCACTAATACCAGCATCTGATTAAGACCAGAGTTAAAACTGGAAGTAGTAGCAATTAGAACTAGAACATAGGACTTCTAGCTTACTATATTTTGTCAAAACTATGCAGTCACTTACTCGTCTTCCAGTAATCTATTAGAAATTAAGTAAACTAGATTAATAAAATATATTAATTTTACCTTAAATCTAGTTTATATATCAGTATATATAAACAGTGTATTTTATCAAAAGTTTATTTAAAGATGAGATTTTTTTTGTAATAATATACATTTTTGATGAATGTGCCCATCTGCAATTAGATTCTTAGACTAAGAAGTAAATAATACTTCATTTGTTAAAGAAATCAAACTACTTATTCTCAGGTAATTTTGGTTAGGTGGTAAGTGACAAAGAATGAATGAGAAAAATGTTAGCCTCGAAGGAAAAGAAGTTTTTATTCTTCGAATTTTGATTTTATCCAGCCAGTCCAGGGAAATCCCCATTGCATAGAAAGACTAACCGATGAACAATGAACAGTCTTCCTGTTTTCCCCTCCTTTCCCTTAAAACAACAACAAAAACTGAATAAAAAATTATTTTCTGCAGTTAGACCCCAAGTCCATGACTAGTAATGATTTATTTCTAACTTTATTCTTAAGTTGTTATTAAACTCAGACATATGTTAATGTAATTGATATTTTCCAAAAGGATCATGAACTGTAACTTCTTAGTTTCTCACAAATTAATTTAGGCCTGCCTTTAACAAGCAGGTGAATCCTAAGATCGGACCAGTAGAGTTTCTGAAAGAGAGTTCTTACTAGGCTTGTTTCAGTTTCTTTCTAACCTGAATTTCATTCAAATAAATACTTTAAAAATGTATCAGAATACTGTTTTAATATCAGAAGCATCATAAACATGTTGTAGACTATTACTGAAAAAAATCCCTAGTTAAAAATTGTATAGTAGTCTTTATTGGATAGCATTAAAATATTCCTGTTGTTTAGATGAGTAATGGAAAGTTTTAGACAAAACTTACAGAAGAGCAAATGAGCTAAGAGAACTGATTAACAAATATTATCAGAATTTATGGGAATATCAGTGTATATAATGGAACACTGTACTTATCTAAGATTAGTATGAACACAGAGAATATAATTGTGTTACAGTTTTCCCCAAAACGGTGGAGAGGTTGTGTACCAGTAGGTTCCTTTGACTGTGTAAACCCAAAATGGCGTCAGAGTTTGTATAGCACTGTCAGAATTAAAATGTTACTGAGTAAAAAGTTTCACTTAATACAGCTTAATTAGAAGATGATAGTGACATTTCTAACAATAGACTGTTGGATTTTGTAGGAATGATTATGAGGAACTAGCTCGGCAATGTAAAATGTTTGCTAAAGATTTGCTTGCCCAAGCCCGGAATTCACGCGAATTGGAGGTGATCCTAAACCACACATCTAGTGATGAGCCGCTTGACAAACGGGGATTACTAGAAGAAAGGATGAATTTAAGTCGTTTAAAACTCGCTATAAAATATAACCAAAAGGAGGTATGAGGTTTTCTGTAATATATTTAAATTATTTCCTCCACAGTAGTCTAGTGGGTCAGAGCAAAGGCTTTGGAGTGACCTCTCTGGATTGAGATCCTAGTTCAGCTTCATACAAACTTGTGTCCTTGGTAAAGTTATTGAGTCTGTCTGGGCATTCATTTTCAAGAATTAATTAAGAATATATATTTAAAGGGTTTAGCACAGTAAATACTAGCGTTAGGCAAGTAGTCAATAAATGATAGTTGCTATTATTTTTAACAATATCATACAATATGGATGTTGATTTGATGTTTTTGCTAAATAGTAGCTACAGAGCTAAGAAGCTGTGTAGTAAGTGCCTTTATCGTGAAGTTTCCATCCTGTGTTTTGCTGTCATGGATTTGTTTTCTTGATCTGGTTATGAATAACCCTTTCCATAGTAATAGTCTCTTTCTATTTAAAAATAAAGTATCCACTATTATATATCCTGATTCTTCTTATTTGTTAATTCATTATGAAACCCAAAGGTGCAGAGGTGCATGATATAGCTAATTTGATTCTGGCTCTTCTGGCATCATCCCTTCCTATTTAGGGAAATACCTGTTTTTACTTCCTGTACATGCACATATAAAGATTCAGGAACTTGAAGAGGGAAGGTGTGCACTTCAAATTTAACTTTTTGAGATAATTTACTAACCATGAGTGCTTATAGGTAGATGATGATATCGAGTTAATAGTATAGGGTATTGATAAATGGTACTTTTGAAGTATTGCTTCTAAGACCCATTATTTCCATTATCAACCTGTATGTTGAAATAAAGCTTGCTTATCGAATTTATATTAATATAAAAATGAGACCTTAAATAGGTAATGGTAGAAGGCAAGATACAGGACCTTTGGTCTCAGCTGAAAATTTGAGTCTCATAATAGTTTTTGATTTAGGAAATTGATGCAGGAATTTTAAGGTCTTTAAGATTACCTGGACAGTATGTTGATAAGCCAGGTCTCTGACTTCAAAGCCTGTGCTTTTCCTACTACTCCAGGGTTCTTGCTTGAGCTAGAACATTTATAGGAAATAAATTAAGTACAAGAATTTGGATCAATGTGGATATAAGGTTATAAGTCAGCAACATACCTGTGTGGATTAAAAAAGAAATACTGTAAGTAGAAACAGAGAATATAGGAACCCTGATGTAATCTTTCTCTAATTATACATTTTGAGTTAATCTTAGCTTAGTAAGATTCTTCTACAACCAAAATGGACATAAAATTCTAGAAAAATGATAGAATAAAGGGATACAGAGTACAAAGTCAACTTAAATGATTGGGAAAAAAACCTAAAAGAAAGATGGAAGTAACCAGGATTATCTTGATTAGGGAAGAAAAATTTAAGAGACCATTCCCTAATGATATCTATATTCCTGGAGGACTCACAGAGGACAACCAAGTGTTCCATTCTGAAGAATATGAAAGAAAAGGAAGCAAGAAGTAATAGTAATATTTGTTAGTTGAAAAGAAGACTTATGAAGGTGAAACTCTGAAAAAGTTAGAGTGATAGTCTTTTAAAACGTTCTTAAAAATACAATATAATGTAATCTGCTGGGAATGGTCCAGTTGAAGGTACTGTCATCGGTGAGAAGAGATGGACCCTGATAGTTCTCCACCCTGTAATCTTAAGGATGAATGAAAATGTAAATTAATATTTAAACTAGATTTCTAAATATGGTCAAAGGGGAAGACGATAATGTTTTCCTAAATAGTTGCTAGACTTTGTTCAGGTTATTCATTGCTGAATAACAAACTACAATGAAATTTAGTGGTGTAAACAACAATCATTTTATTATGCTTATGGATTCTTTGAGTCGGGAGTTAGGAAAGGACACAGTGGGGTGATTTGTCTCTGCATCAGCATGTCTGAGGTGTCAGCGGGAGATAACCACATGACTAGGGGCTGTAATCAGCTGGAGGTTTCTTCACTCACATGTCTGGTACCCGAGATTGTTGACTGGAGTGCCTGTATGTGGCTTGGGCTTCCTCACAGCATGGTGACTTCAGGGTAGTAGGACTTTTTACCTGGCAGCTCATGGCTCTAAGAGCAGTGTTCCAGTGAACAAGGTGGAAAGTTACTTGGCCTTTTAAGACCTGGCTTTAAAAGTCATATAGAATCCTGCCAGTATCTACTGGTTAAAGCAATCACAAGTCTAATTCAAGGAGAAGGAACATTTATCTCACCTCTTGATGGGAGGAATATCAAAGAATCTGTGGCCATATTTTAAAACCGCCACAGACTTTAGAACATTTCCAGTGGTTAAGAGCTTGGCTGCTAACCAAAAGGTCAGCAGTTCGAACGCACCAGCCACTTCTTGAAAACTCTATAGGGCAGTTCTCCTCTGTCCTATAGGGTCACACTGAGTTGGAATCGATTCAGTGGCAATGGTTTTATTGAACATTACTGTTAATTAATTTATCATTATATAGAGGGATAGCAGGGACAGGAATCAGTCCTGAGATTGCTCTCATACTTGAGGGAAGGGAGAAACTAAATTCAGGATTCTACTAGACTGGACACTTGGTGGGAGGAATACTGTTCTCTACCAGGTTTTCACCTTGAGGCACAGATTAAGATTCCCCAAGAACACTGGAATCTGAGCAGAAGAATAAAGAATGTGAGTAAGACTGAATTGTCAAAAATAAATACCGTATATTAGGAAATTCATTGATAAGCACAATAAACAACAAAATAAATTCTGTCCAGACAATGCTTTTTCTCCTACAGTGTCACATTCCACAAATTATATTCTACCTCAGGATAAGTCTTCTTTAAAACAGAAGGTTGTCCAAAATTTTCTTGGATGAGCTTAATTTTATGATCTTCTACTTGCCCTTTACTTTGGTAATTTCAAATCTGAGTAATATTATTATATCCCAAGTTATCGGGACCCTTAAGTTATACTTCACAGCATTAGCATTATAGTGGGAAAATTTTGCTCTGAAATTTATAAACTGAAGAGTTCTGTATACTTTGGTAAACTCATTCCTATACTTGATCTAGAATTTTCATCTTATGTGGAAATATCTTTCCTTTTCATCTCCTACAAAATTCAATTTTAAACAGGTTCAGGGGTGCCTTTAATACATTTAAGAAATCCTCAGTATTTTGTTGGAGCATGAATACATCTACTATTCAGACTTGAATTGTTTTCCTATATAGACACCTTGGTTTCTTTTAACTAAAATCAGTAGTTTCTCTAGACTAAAGACATCTAAGCATTAGTTAGCCATTTTTTTAAAGGATTATACTATGTAATAAGTATCTTAAATGACCTTAGTAATGAGTGGTGTCTCTTTCTACGGATTGTGCTAGTTAACTTTGAAATTTCATAAACATTAGTTTACGAGCCTTTATAAATTAAATGTGGTTAAATGGTTAAGTAGGCTAATAATAATAATTAATACTTATACAGTACATGCTATGTGCCAGGCACGATTCTAAGAGCAGTTCACTTAATCCTCACAACAACTTAATGAGTACATACTGTTATCATCCGCATTTGATAGAGGCAGAATTGAGGCTCAGAGAGGTTTAAAAGCTTGTTCAAGGTCATTTAATAAGCAAAGAGCCTGAATCTGAATTTAGATATAATGGCTTCAGAATCTATGCTCTTAACCTCTACACTCTTTTATTTTATTATTTGTAAGGGGGGGGGGCAAAAAAAAAGAACTAGGTTGAATGTATAGAATTGATTTTTAAACTATTATTAAAACTTTGAATATCAATAAAATGATGGCTGTATCAGTTAATCTTTAAAGGTCTTGTTTACGTGTGTGTGTGTGTGTGTGTGTCCTTTTCAGTTTGTCTCCCAGTCTAACTGCCAGCAGTTTCTGAACACCGTTTGGTTTGGACAGATGTCAGGTTACCGACGTAAGCCCACCTGTAAGAAGATAATGACTGTTTTGACAGTTGGCATCTTTTGGCCAGTTCTGTCGCTTTGTTATTTGATAGCTCCCAAATCTCAATTTGGTAGAATCATTCACACACCTTTTATGAAGTTTATTATTCATGGAGCATCATATTTCACGTTCCTGCTGTTACTAAACCTATACTCTCTTGTCTACAATGAGGATAAGAAAAACACAATGGGGCCAGCCCTTGAAAGAATAGACTATCTTCTTATCCTGTGGATTATTGGTAAGTATCTAACCAAGTTGAAGGCTCTGCCTTTATTTAGCCTATTAAGTCTCCCTTGTTTGGTGGCATTACGAACATCTGAGTTCAATTTGTAGTTTTACAGTGTTTACACAGCAAGAATTTGAACTCTTCCATGATCTTTGAAGACCTAACACTTTTGTAAAGACAAAAATTCCTGAATTTGATGATAAGGAAGCAGATCTCTTATTTGTTGTTGTTGCTAGGTGCCATCGAATCGTTTCTGACTCATAGCAACCCTGTGTACAACAGAACGAAACACTGCCTGGTCCTGTGCGACATTCTTTATTCGTAACTCTGAAGTTGTTCATAATTGTTAAAACAGAAAAACCAGTTTTACTAATGAGTACTATTTTGGTAAAAGAACATGAACCTTTTTCTGGGTTTTTTGTAACAATGCATTTTATACTCTGCTGCATTTTTAAAGTTAGCTCTTCTGTTTCATTATATGATTAGTTTTCATTTTAAGACTGTGAACTTTTGTAGTTACATCCTACTTTATCTCTATTGTAGAAATATTATTTAAGTATAGATTTAAAGGAGTCCCTGGTGACTCATTCCATAAATCAGTCCTATGTAATGATAACCAGATCTCCTTAGGAATGACAGGTTATTAAAAATATAAGACATTTCATTTTTCTAAAAATTGTTTTTTTTATATGTGTTATACTGTGTAATAAATATCTCAAATGACCTTCTGCAGTTTTTACTCCCCATAAAGGGAAGGCGGGAGAATCACACAATCTGTTCTTGGTCTTTTAAGGACTTCTTTCTTTTATTGTGAATCTTCAACCTTTTTTTTAAACCTCAGCATTTCCCCCCTGTCCATTTGCTATAGTGTAAGAAGAATATTGAAATTTACTCTTTTCTATGCTATAAATCACTGATTTTAGTGGTAAAATTGTATTCATCTCTTGATTAACATGTTCTAGATTATTTCACTTATTAAATAATTTGGAAAGAGTTATTGTACAGTGTTCACTTTTAGTTCTTCTTCAGATATAAAAATAATTGTCAGATTTTGCAGTTTTTAATTTTTATTTGGAAATCAATTTATTTCAGGTAACTTGGCTTCAGCCAGAGTTTTACTTTTAGCAGTAATCAATCCATGATGCATTAATGTTTAAAATTAGAGAGATAAAGAAAAATAATATACATCTGAAATCTAGGTGAAAGAGAATTAAATAATCCCTTCTTTTAATATGTCTTGTGTCCTGCATTTCTTCTATCTTATCTAAAGATTGGAGCCCTGGTGGTGCAGTGGTTAAGTGATACGGCTGCTAACCAAATGGTCGGTGGTTTAAACCTACCAGCTGCTCCTTGGAAACCCCATGGGGCAGTTCTACTCTGCCATCTAGAGTTGCTATGGGTCAGAATCAACTTGATGGCAATGCGTTTGTTTTTTTGTTTTTCGTATCTAAAAGTGTTTTAATTTAAGAAATAATTTAGACTTCATTGTATATGGTTTCATATTGCATTGTTCTGGATCGTTCCAATGTGAAATTTGTTTACATTGTTATTTGAGTACGTAAAAAATATATGTATAAGGCAGAGAGCAATCTCTAAATACTATTATCTTTTTTCCTATATTCATTTAAACTATTTGTGAAAGATTGTTATATATATAACAATATATAACATATATGTTAGTCTTAAAGAAAATAAATTTTATGTCATTTATCTATAACCTACTGTTTAAATACTAATAAGAAAGAATATTTTGTTTGTTTTGTAAATGAGATTCCATTTACCCAAGTCTATATACGAGTCAAATTAAAGATTATCATTCTTAGCAGTGAGTAAAAACTCTCTGAACTCCAAGAGGCATATCACTCTATGGGTAGCACATATACTGCTCTTGTCACTGATGTTCATGATAACAGTAAAACTGTGCCCAATCCATTTTAAACATGATGGCACTGCTTCCAGTAACATTATACACACACACACACTGATTAATTTTCTAACTAATATTCTGCTTCACTAGAATAATGCATGTCAACTAAGCCAGTTAAATTTCTGGGAGTGTTTTAGTTTTCTCAGCAGAACTTCTGCTTTGAAATAACTGGATCTGACTAACCTTGCCGAGAATATCTTCTAAGCCTGTATGTAATTAGATCAGTCTGGGCTTCTTTACATATATAGATCTGCACCTACTCTAAGTGAGTATGTAGGAATAAAGGCACACTTGGTTCACTTTATTATTTCAAGCAGTGAGTACAGAGACTTGGCTCATGGTGACCAACTTTATGCATTTGCTTTCTTGTTTCTTCTCCTTATCCCTCCAGGAAAAAGTAAGGTTAAGTTACAAAAGACAATGTAGAAAAGAAGGAAAAAAGTGCATTGATGAATGCACAAAATATTAATGGTATCCTTTTATTTCATCTTTTGCTGTTGGAAAATAATAGAGCAGCTATGATAAAAGTATATTTTTAATAATGTTGAGCACCTGCTTTGTCTAAGCACAGGCACTGAAGATTTACTAGTGAGCAGAACCATCTGTGGCCCTGCTCATGGAGTTTATGGTCTAATTAAGGTAGAAACCCATTAACTTGAGACTGGCACAGATAAATGAAAAATCACAAATGAGTTAAGTGCTACTAAGTAAGGGAACGTGGTGCTAGGAGAGCAAGCATATTGTAAGGGTGTTTCATCTAGTCAGGGAGGTTGGAAAGGCTATCTTGAGGAAGTGATGAATGAGCTAAGATCTAAAGGATGAATGGGAATTAACTAGGAGAATTGGGAGAGAAAAGTATTCTAGGCTGCGGTAAGAGCAGATGCAAAGGTCCTGTGGCAAGAGGGAGCATGGTACAAAGAAGGGGCTGAACAAAGGCTAATGTTACTGGAACAAGGAGAACAAGGGGAGCATGATTTAAGATGAAGCTATAGAAACATATGTTGTGCCAGACCATGCATGGCCTTGTAGGCCACGTTAAATGATTTTGACTTTATACTGAGAACAATGGAAAACTTATGAAATTTTTTAAGTAGGGGAGTGACATGATCTGATTTGCCTTTTGAAAATACTATTGTAGTTATACAGTGTGGAAAATGGGTTGGGGGAATAGGGCTGTGGCAAGAGTTGATGGAGGGAGATCAATAAAGAGACGTTGCAGTGATCCATGAGAACTGATGGTACCTTGGACTTGGAATGATTGAGATAGAAAAGAGAGAAAGGGACAGATTTGAGAGATATTTATAAGGTAAAGCCAATAGGACATGGAAATACATAGTATATAAGAGGTGAGGAAAAGGGAGGTTATTAAGCAACATAGGTATTTTGGAAAAGTACTAGGTTGAGTATTTGTAGAGGGAGGGTAGAGCCTGACTGTGGTTTTGCATATGTTCAGTTTGAAAAGGCTCTGAGATATCCAAGAGAGATGTCAATCAGACAATTGGAGGTTATAGTCTAGAACTCAAGAGGAAGTCTAAGTTGAAAATAGGAATTGTGGATAATCTGCATTTAGGTGGTATATGAAATTGTGGATGAGACACTTAAAGAGAAAGTATGAAATAAGGAGAGGACCTTGAGAAATCCCAACATGGCTGGGATTGCTATATACTAATGTAATTTACTAGTTAAAAAAAAAAAAAAAGAAACCCCTAAAATATAGTACATTGATTGTGTAGTGATTGCATTACTTATAATAATTTAAAATTATTTTGTTCTTTTCAATTCAACTCATAAATATGAAATACATCATGTGTGTTAGCTTTATTTTTCTGGAGGGTGTTGCACACAAGATAGGAAACTACCCAGTGGTGAGTCTCGCTATTTTTTCATGTTTCTGCCCCTTTTGGTCAAAAGCCTTCTCCAATTCATGTTGAAACTTTTTGTTAAGAGTTAAGTACAATATTTCATTTTGAAGAAATAAGATACTTATTTCTATAAACATCTTTTTTGGTTTAGTGTTTAATGTTAAGAGGAATGGGTCTAAAGCTTAAATGTAAATGTTTTATTTGAAGATGTCTTATAGATAAGGAGCTACATACCGTTTTATATCAGGATACAGGATTAGATAATGTGTTGAGTTCCTGAAGAAAGGATTTGCTTGATATGTTTGTTCTCTTTAGCCCCTAGTCCTGGGTAAAGATTGATCATGATAAATATTCAGGAAGCCTTCATCCCCACCCTTTCTCCAAATAAAAGAAAACAGTGTTTGAGTTAATAAAATGTTACCCGATAGACTCTTTTGTTTAACATTTTTAGGCAGTTTTTATCTATTCATTTTTAATAGAAGCTCATCCAAGTGTAATTTTTACCCTTTTTTTACCCTTTCTACATACATATATTTATTTTTTATTTTTTCCCATACAAAAATTTATACATAGATCATTATGTGACCCTAATTGCTCTCCCCATACTGCGACAGCACACTCCTCCTTTCCACCCAATTCTCCGTGTCCATTCAACCAGCTCCTAACCCTCTCTGCCTTCCCATCTCACTGCCGGACAGAGGCTGCCTGTTTAGTCTCTTGTATCTACTTGAGCTAAGAGACATACTCCTCACGAGTATTACTTTATGTTCCACAGTCCAGTGCAATCCCTGTCTGAAGAGTTGGCCTCGGAAATTGTTTTAGTTCTGGGCTGATAGAGAATCTGGGGGGCATGCTTTCTGGGGTTCCTCGAGTCTCAGTCAGACCATTAAGTCTGATCTTCTTACTAGAATTTGAGTTCTGCACCCCACCTTTCTCCTGCTCCATCAGAAACTGTCTGTTGTGTTCCCTGTCAGGGCAATCATTGGTGGTAGCCAGGCACCATCTAGTTCTTCTGGTCTCAGGCTGATGAAGTCTCTTGTTTATGTGGCCCTTTCTGTCTCTTGGGCTACTACTTTCCTTGTGTCTTTGGTGTTCTTCATTCTCCTTCACTCCAGGGACTAATTGTTGCATCTTAGATGGCTGCCTGCAAGCTTTTAAGACCCCAGACGCCACTCACCAAAGTAGGATGCAGAACATCTTCTTAATAAGCTTTATTATGCCAGTTGACCTAGATGTCCCTTGAAGGCATGGTCCCCCGACCCCTACCCCAGCTACTCTGTTTCTCAGAGTGTTTAATTGTATTCAGGAAACTTCTTAGCTTTGGTTTAGTCCAGTTGTGCTGACTTCCCCTGTAGTGAGTGCTGTCCTTCCCTTCACCTAAGATAATTCTTATCTACTATCTAGTTAGTAAATAACCGTCACCCTCCCTCCCCAGCCTCATGACCATCAAAGAATGTTTTCTTCTGTGTTTAAACCTTTTCTTGAGTTCTTATAATAGTGGTCTTGTACAATATTTGTCCTTCTGTGACTGACTAAATTCAGCATAATGAGTTCCAGCTTCCTCCATGTTATGTTTCACGGCTTCATCATTGTTCTTTATTGTTGCGTAGTATTCCATTGTGTGGATATACCATAATTTGTTTATCCATTCGTCCGTTGATGGGCATCTAGGTTGTTCCATCTTTTTGCTATTGTGAACAGTGCTACATTGAACATGGGTGTGCATATATCTATTCATGTGATAGCTCTTATTTCTCTAGGATATATTCCAAGGAGCGGGATAGCTCTTGTTTTTTAATTGGGTTATTTGTATTTTTGTTGTTGAGGTTTTGCAGTATCTTGTAGATTCTGGAGATTAGACGCTGATTGGATTTGTAGTAGCCAAAAATTTTTTCCCAGTCTGTAGGTTGTCTTTTTACTCTTCTGGTGAAGTCTTTTGATGAGCATAAGTGTTTGATTTTTAGGAGCTCCCATTTATCTAGTCTCTCCTCTGGTGCTTGTGCATTGTTACTTATGGTTCGTATTGTGTTTATGCCATGTATTAGGGCTCCCAGCGTTGTCCCTATTTTTTCTTCCATGATCTTTATCATTTTTGATTTTACAAGTGTGAGTTTTTTAAGTGTTTTCTCTGTCTCTCTGAAAATATTTTAAAATGTTTTTCTATGTGAAATATGGATACTGTATAATTAAGATGTTATGGACAGAGGTTTTCAAGAATGCTTAGTGTCTTTCCCAGGGGAATTATTCTGCTTCCCAGTAAACCAGAGAGTGATTCTACTTGGCTTAATTGATTTCCACCCATGTGTTATGTTGCATCACTATTTTCTGGTTATTTTATCTTCTCCTTAAAAATATCTTAATGAAGGAGTGTACCATAAAACTATTATGGGTTGTGTTACTGCTCTTTGGTACTTGTAAGAATGTATAGTTATGGAGGAACTTCTGGCCCAACAAATGGAGGAGTTTTTCTGTTGGTTTGATTTGGTTTGGTTTTTGTGTCTATTTATTCATTTAACAAGTTTTGTTGAGTACCCACTATGTATCATGCACTATTCAGGACATTTGAAATATCAGTTAAAAAAAAACAAAGATTATTACCCTTAATAATAGTTAATAATAGAAAGATAGTTAATAATAGACATAATAAGTAAATTATATCCAGTGTTAGAAAATGAAAGTGATATGTACTATGAGAAAAGAAAAAGAAACGCAGAGTAGGGAGATTGGGAATGGGGTACGTGGGGCTTGCAATTTTGCATGGAGTGGTCAGGGTAGATGGTGAGCAAAGACCTGAAGTGAGAGTGTTAATCAAGTAGATACCTGGGTAAGAAGTTTCCAGCCAGAGGGAAGAGCCAGTGTGAAGGCCCCAAGGCAGGAGTCTTGTGTGTTCAAAGAACTGCAAGGAGGCCAGTATGATGGAGTAGTGTAAGGAGAAATTAGTAGGAGATAAGGTCAGAGAGGAAGGATAATGTAGGACTTTGAGCCTTTGATTTTGACTCTTGAAATGGAATGTAAGGGAAGGTGTAGTGCCCTCTACACACGGTCAGCAGCAGTGGGTTCTTGGGTTTTAATTGACATTCACACTCACAGGACACAATAGGCTGAAACCTGGCACCAGATTTACTTAGCTTTGTGGAAGGATACAAGACAGTTAACACAGCGTGTCAGCCTGGCAGCTTCAAATATATTTTTATTGGGAGCCCTTATAAAATTATGGGGGCTGCATCCCAGCCCCATAGTGGTCACACTCACCTATAGAGGATGAACCATGTGTGTGGGTGTAGACTACCCTAGCCAGGGATGCCTCAAATCTAGCAGGAGCTATATCTTATAAAAGCCCAAGAGTATAACTCTCATTACAGACTCATTCTGAGTTGAGAGAGACATCACACAGAGAAGCTGAGGCCTGTGTTTCTCCAATGCTTTTATGGTCCTGGGTATGTCTACCTTCAGAGTCTTTTCAGTCCATTTATAGTCTTCCTGGACCAGATGCAATTTCGCTATCAGTGACTGTTAGGTTAAGTTTAGAGGTGTAAATTTGAGAGTCTTTGGCATATAGATGGTATTTAAGGCCGTGAGACTGGATGAGATGACTAAAGGAGTCAGTGTGGGTAGAGGAAAGGATCACAGACTGAGACCTTGATGTGTTTGTGTGTGTGTTTGCATGTGGCATCAGTTTGTTTGTATTCTTATTTTTGTTTCACATCACTTAGAATTGCTCTCTGGAAAAGACATTGTCATATGAAACTTAAGATTTTTTTCTTTCAGATTATGGGGATTGTTCACTAGAAAGTTGTTTTTTATTTTGAATGAGGCTCTAGCTAGTGTTATTTACTTAGTACTTTGAGTCTTATACTTTAGTTTATTACTGAATTAAGAGAGTGTTATCTGATTATTTTTCTTCCTTTTTTTAGGGATGATTTGGTCAGACATTAAAAGACTCTGGTATGAAGGGTTGGAAGACTTTTTAGAAGAATCTCGTAATCAACTCAGTTTTGTCATGAATTCCCTTTATTTGGCAACCTTTGCCCTCAAAGTGGTTGCTCATAACAAGGTGACTATTAACTATGTCAATTGGAGGCACAAATAAAGTTTATCTAGAAAATACCCGAGACGTTTAGCTATGTAACTCAGCATTACATGGCCCACATCTGTGTCTGGTGTGTTTTCATTTTAAACCTATGCATGTGCAAGGGAGTAGTGTCAATTGTTTCCCTTCCTTTCCAGTAGCTTAAAGGATGTTCATTACCTTTAAATATTGGTTACCTATTATATGCCAGGCACCATGGCTGGTACTTGATACACTTTATCCATTTTATCCTCACAGGGACTCTATGAGACAGACATCCTTATCCCTATTTTGCAGATAAGGAAAATGAAGCTCAGAGATATTAAGTAACTTGTCAAGACCACACAGTAAGAAACCAAGACTGGATTTAAATCCGGGTCTGTCTAGGCATGTTCTTTCTAGCAAACACCGGTTCCTTATATCTGAGCTAGGCTCATTTACCTCATTAACGTGTACATACTTAAAATAAGAACACAAAGTAACTTAAAATGATTAGTGTTAGGTACCTGTTATACCTTAGGGAAGGAAGTTTATCTGAATGGAATTCATTATACAGTATTTTACACATCCCAAATCATGATTATTATCTTACACAGCTTATGAAGTGATGTCAATGTAATTATTTTGGGGGTGCCTATTTTTTATTTAGAATTTGATAAAAATTTAGCCCATATGTACATAAATATATGTATGTATATATTTACTTTCATCAAGATTTAAGCTCCCCTAAGCCCAGAAAAGGCAATAATAGATTTTCTTTGTTTAAACCCTTAGTCTAGAGTTCTTTTGGGGTGTGACATTCAAAGAACTGAAAGACGTTATATTCTGGTTTTTTTTTTTTTTTTTTAACAATTTATAGATAATAGAAAAAGCAAGTTGGTCACTGTACATCATTTTACTGTATTCAAAATTCTATTCCTTTAACCGACCAGTAGTACAGAACATATTTACTTAGTTATGTTCAGTGTCCAGAATGTGAAATTTGTAAGAAACTAAGAAATTGATCATACATAGACAAATGGTTTGAAAAAGAGGTTGAGGGGTGTTGCTTTTCCAGACTGATTTCTTTAGTTCTAGAAGTGGGGTGACAATATAATATGTTGTACAAACCATGTCACTTTTGAGAGTGAAAGGAGACACTGTTAATAAATATGTTAGGACAACTAGTGTACAATCTGGGGCTGTCCCAGGGAACCAGGACTTATGACCACTCTGTATCAAGGCATAATAATGCCATCCTTTTCTCGTAGGGTTTAAAAGAGAAAGGAACCTCTATGGTTCATTCTAGAATCCTGAGTCAAAGGACTAGGTCACTTTAATATGATAGCTAATTAATTGTCAGTACATATACTAAAAGTTTGTGGTGGAATTTAAGAAAAATTTCATTCAGAAAAAGTTTAATGACAATTTTAAAAAATTAATTTTTTAAGACAGAAGAATTTTTCTGAAAATCTCTTGGTATAGAGTTACTCATGTTGTCTCACATATGTAAAAATCCTTTAGTTAAAACATTGTTATTTCCATTAAACGGGAGAACTCTATAAAACATAGATGGAGATCCCCAGAAGGAGACGTAATTAAAATACTTCTCGTTCAACCACCAGAGTATTCATTTTTATATTCCTGAATTGACGGAGCTATTTATCTTTGTCTTTCTTCTTTCTAATTTTAGTTTCATGATTTTGCCGATCGGAAGGACTGGGATGCGTTCCATCCTACACTGGTGGCAGAAGGGCTTTTTGCATTTGCAAATGTTCTAAGTTATCTTAGGCTCTTTTTTATGTATACAACCAGCTCTGTCTTGGGTCCATTACAGGTAAATAATTAAATTTCTTCAAGAACACTTGTCGATGTTATTATTACAACTTTCTACTTGTCCACTGGAATGTAGTTATCTCATGATGTTAAAGCTAAACTTCACTTTTGAAAATAATTAACAATTGAAATGACACAGCATGTCATTTCTGGCTGAATGATAATCCTTTGCTTTCAATTATTTAAGGGAGTTCCTGGCTAGTGCAAACAGTTCACACTGCTAATCAAAAGGTTGGAGGTTTGAGGCCACCCAGAGGTACCTTGGAAGAAAGTCCTGTCAGTCTACTTCCAAAAGATCAGCCATTGAAAACTCTGTGGAGCACAGTTCTATTCTGACACACATGGGTCGCCATGAGTTGGAGTGAACACAAACGCGAATGGTTTGCGCTATGGTCCGTTGGCTTCCTCCCCTGCTCCATGGACGTAGATGTGTTTATAGAGTTATTATACTTCTGACAACAGAAGAACATAGAAATCTGCTTTTTACCAAAGTGAATCTCACATTTAAGATTTTAAGTGTTTTAGGTGATAACTATGAAAGCGGTCCTGTGCAAACAGAAATAAGCTGTTTCATGATGATTTTGAAAATATGTAAGCTATATTTTTAAAAAATACTCTTGCTTAAAAAATGCTCAATGTCATAATGTGGAATATAGCATATTTAGAGTTGAAAAATTCATAAAGATCACAGAGTCCAGCATTTTACTTTATAGTTAAAGAAAGAAATTGAGTTTTTGAGTTAGCATGAGATGTATACAAAGTAGCATGGTTATTAAGTGGGAGAGTCCAGGAAATTCTAAGTCTCTTTACACCAAAGAAATGACTCACAATTGGTTGAATTTACCCCAGAAAGTTTAGTAGTTGACTGTTATTAGAAGGTGAGATCAACTCTTTTAGGTAACTAGATCTGCATAATATTACTCAAAAAGTTATACGTCTGAAAATCTGAGCAGTATTCATTTTTCTTTGATAAGTTGAAATTTACTAACAATTTAGATTCTATTTTCAATGAAAATATTTAATTTTAATTAGATATTGTTTATATAATCCAGTTCAGAGAGTTTTAAATTATTTATTTGGGTAGTATATCATATATATGTATGTATGTATATATAAACCCAAAAACCAAACCCGTTGCCGTCGAGTCAATTCTGACTCTTAGTGATCCTAGAGGAAAGAGTAGAGCTGCCGATAGGGTTTCCAGAGAGCGCCTGGTGGATTCAAACTGCCTGCCTTTTGGTTAGCAGCCGAACTCTTAACCAGTACGCCAGCATGGTTTCCATTTATACGTATATAATAATATATATATATAT